CTTTTTTTTCAACAAAATAAAATGCACATTTTAAGAGTTCCACTGCACTACCTTTGCACAAAACAAAAACACGTTCTGTGTGAATTGTGAATGCCTTTTAGAATGACCTGCGACAGGGCCCCCCAAAGGGGTGGGGGCCCCACGCGCTGTGGGGGTGTCCTGTACGCCACTGGCTGCTTGTATCTTAATAAATTTTAAATGTGACCAGAAACACGCAAAGATAAATCTTACGTCATTAAAAGCGTTGTACGCCAACCAAACAAACTGAATGTTGACGTCAAACAGACTCAAGCCTTTAAAAAATGGAACTGATAGGCCCAATCAAACACTGCTGATCATGCTCATGAGCGAGCAGTGAGACTCTCAGCTCATTTACAAAGGGCAAATGTGTTAGCTTCTTCGAAAAAGCCGTGGAACAATTACACAGAGAAAGAAGGATAAGGCAACAAACGTCTGAAGATCAGATCACTTCAGATTGGCGCAGCACTGGCAGGCTCAGCAGTAATTACCAAGACAAGTCCTGCCACGGCTTTGCATGACGGCTGTTTCCTGATTGCTAATTGTGATTAAAAGCAGCACCTGAGGATGGAGCTGACCTGGAGAATGATCCTGTTGTGGGAGAGGAATAATTGGGGTAATTTTCTTCACTTTAGCCGTTCCACTTAAATGAGCCTGCATGATTTTTTTAAAAGAGAGAAACAAGAAAATTTCTAACGATGTTTCCTTCATAAAAGGGAAAGAAAAGAGTCAAGAGAAACAAGTATGTGCAGGAAGAAGGCTGAAACAAAAAACAGACGGTGTAAATTGACAGACGATTCTGTAACCACAGTTTACTTCTGTTGCATCTCTCCAGGTGGGATGAATAAAATGAGACGGGCATCATTCCCTATTCAGACTAATGAGACATTGTGTTTAACAGAGTCTCTCCCTTCTTCTGCAACAAAAACCCTCTCATTGGAAATGGGTGTTTTAAAGGCTCAGTGAGTATGTGCAAAGGGGCTGCATGGAGCAATCAAGCGTGGTACTGAGGTATGTAGCATAATATCATACCAAATATACAGTATATGTATTGCACTTATATCTGCAGTATGTACACACACCAGCCATTTGTTAGTACCGGGTTGGACCCCTTTTTGACTTCAGAACTGCCTTAATTCTTCATGGCATAGATTCAACAAGGTGCTGGAAACATTCCTCAAAGATTTTAGTCCACATTGGTCCGGATTTGTCAGTTGAATATCCATGATGCTAATCTCCCGTTCCATCACATCCCAAAGGTGCTCTATTGGATTGAGATCTGGGGACTGGAGGCCATTTGAATATAGTGAACTCATTGTCATGTTCAAGAAACCAGATGATTTGAGCTTTGTGACATAGCGTATGGCTGTGGCATTTAAGCAATACTTAATTGTTACTAAGGGGCCCCCACACCATTATACCACCAGCAGCAGCCTGAGCCATTGATACAAAGCAGGATGGATCCATGCTTTAATGTTGTTTAACATAAAATTCTGACCCTGCCATCCTAATGTCGCAGAAGAAATCTCTTTCTCTTAAAGACTCATTAGATCAGGCAACCTTTTCCCAAGCATCTATTGTCCAATTTTGGTGAGCCTGTGAGTTGTAGCCTTGGTTTCCTGTTCTTAGCTGACAGGAGTGGCACCTGGTCTGGTCTTTAATGCTGTGATGTGTGTTCAGAGATGTACTTTTGCATACCTCGGTTGAATGGCTAATTTACTGGCTAAGTTAATGTTGCTTTTCTATCAGCTCAAACCAGTCTGATCATTCTCCTCTGACCTCTGTTTTTTCTCTCAAGTATTAGCTCAATATTATCCTGTATGATAAAAGTGCAATGTATAATACTCAACAAGAAACATATGCAAACTTTGTAAGATTTATTTTTTTAAATATTAAAGGTTCAACTAACTGTTCCATATATATATATATCAACAAACCCCAAAACTTCTATATGATTGTTATCAGTATTTGTTTTTCCTACAATACTGTAAATGTCTTTTTAGAGGGTGATAGAGCTGGAAGCTGATGAAAGCCATTCATATTTTTGGATGAAGCAGGCACTTGTATTTACCCCCATACTCCCCTTTCCTTACTGTTTCCCTACTGAAGAATTTTTCTCCACATGGAGGTGGAAGGTTCACAATTATATGCACCCTCACAAACAAGTCACTCTTCTCCAGGCCATGGATGATGCGTGCAATGACATCACAGGAGACCAATGTCAGGCCTATTTTTGCCATGCCAGAAGATTTTTTTTAGTTTTTTCTTTTCTTTTTCTCTCATCTAATTTTTTTCTTATTTCAAGTTTTTTGAAAAACCTGCTATGAGTTGTTTATTTCATCAATAATTTTCAAATTTTATTTAATGATTCCAGTGTCTGTACTTTTCTCTCTAGTCTATTACAATGATGTATGAATGTGTAGAACCATAATGAAAGCTACATCATGTGTTTTGAACAAATATATTTAATGATTGTACTAACAACTAAACAGTGAAACTATGGGTATCTTGTGTGTGGGTGATCTAAAGTAATGTTCCTATGATATTTCATAATAAATTAGTTTTTTGAACCAATGCTTCTGCAAATGCAAGGCTTCTTTAAAGATATGAACGCAATATGCAAAATTTTGGGGGGTGAATGACCAGCGCTCTCTTCCACCTTCAGTAACCATGACTGAGGTGAGACCCTTGAGCAAGGCACCAAACCCCTAACTGCTCCCCCAGCGGCGCAGCAAAAAATGGCTGCCCATTGCTCCGGTTGTGTGTTTTGTCACATTTTTACAGATTAGCAGACTATAGCATTGCTCAACCGCAGCAGCTGGGAAAATATCCAATATGAATTGCTTAAGTGTTTGGTGGCAATAATTCTGTTAGATTCAAAAATTTTTATTTTGTAATGGGATTCAGTCAATGAGATTGCTCTAGAGATTGGCCATAGGTTACCTGTAGGCTGAGGCATATCGATGGGCACGTTGAGGGAAAATGAAAGACTCTTGATTGGTGGCTTTTGCTCCTCATCTCTCCACTGCAGGGAATGTAATATGCGTCCTATAATGAAAGCTCTCAGGGGAACTCTTCCTCTGCTTAGTGGTCTATACCAGGCCCACTCAATCACGAATGCAGCGCGTGCTGATGTACCGACAGGGCTTTCAGTAACACCAGGCTGCGTAGTCTGGAAAATGCCTTCTATCGCCTTTAGCGCCATACACTTTGTTGCCACATGACGAAGCACAACATTTATCTCTGCATTTATGGAAATGAAGATGCTCAGCTCCACAATGCGAAAATAGAATACGACTGCTCTTTTGTGAAAAAGAACACCATTGCAGACAGCTGCAGTATATTATCAGGGTAAATGTGAATCTAAAGGCAGTTCTTTATAATATTGGCTATATTTAAAAATGATCACTAAAGCATATACTTTAGTCTTGAATTTGGAGATGAGGGACATAAGTAACAACTAATAATATTATTAAAGTAATCATTAGCTACTTTCACATACAAAACCAGTGAAACTGACATTAGTAAAAATGCCATATTTTTGTTGCCAGATTTAAAAACACTAGGAATCATACCCTTGCCGGCTAAATAAAATCATAGTGTTAAGCTAAAACATTGGAGTCTGTACCATCATACACATGCGATTTTCTGTGAAATCTCCACACTGCATATCAGGGCTTAATCTGAAAAAAAAAAAAAAAAAAATCAATGTAGCGTTTTTCAGATTTTACAGTGCTACATAGACAGACCTTTTCCCTAAAATGCTGCAACTCTTCAAAGGAGTAGGAGTAGAGAAGTTTCCATCATAATTTACTCACCCTTATAATAATAAGATATGTTGAAAAAAAGAATAACAAAATAAATAAATGACACCATAGTTTGGTGTTAATTTTGACAGAATTTTTATTTTTGGATTGAACTATTTCTATAGGTGAGTAATTGCTGGAGTTAATTTTCCAGCATTTTTCAGGTTCTGTTCACACATGAGTAATACGAAAGCACCTAATTTAAAGCATATTAACCAATCAAATGAATATTTTAGGGTAGAGTGCAGCGGTTTTCAGAAAAACGGGTACAAAAACAGCAGCAGTAAATCATCACAGCTGGAGAGATCAGGTCATATTTAGATCCAGAGATTCTGATCATTTCTCTTCAAGGGAAAATCTATACAGAATGTCACAGGTAAAGAGGGGAGGGCTGGGAAAATGACGGATTGCGTCTATCACACTCAATTATGTGCTTGACAAAAGAGATTTGACTCGGTATGGGAGGGAAAAAGAAAGACAATACTGATTACAACCTCTTACAATATTGGATTTCCAGTGACAATACCATAAAATGTCACTGCGGGGAAAGGAGCAGAATCTGTCATAAGCACACAACACAAATAATCACGCTTTATCTTCTTGTGTTGTGATTATCAGCGATATTAAGTTTTAAGGTGGTTGCAATGCAATTCAGGTAAGAGTGCAATAACTTTCATCAGATTGCAGTGTAAAGCACAATAAAATCAGTGACTAGCACCTATAAACGTTAACATCCCCATATAAAACAATTGCCATCTGAATAGAGCTTAATTCTGAGTTCTTCTGTTGAAACAAAGTGATGAATATGCAGTCACGAGCACATGGCCAGAACATCTAGTGGTTCACTGTGACATTTTGATGTTATAATCCATCTTTTTTATGCTGCTTAAAAAGGTTGTAGTATGTGATTTTGAAATCTGAAAGCATTCTGAAGCGGTATATCTGATTTTAAGAGTGAAATTCTGAATAATTGCCTTGAGATGACTGCAGACTTGACAGAATCTCGCTATCCATCAAGACATTCAAAATGCTGTGAAAAAATGTCAGATTCTGACATTCAAAAAGTGAAAATCTCTGAGCCATCTTAATGCCATGTGTAAAAAATGTGAGATGCATTTCCTTTAAAAAAAAAAAAAAGACAGACTCCTATATCAGGGGTTGTATTTATTTATTTATTATATTAAATTAAAAATATAGATTCAGGTAACAAAACTGTGAAACAGTATTTAAATGCTCTAGCTTTGGGGAATGGGAAAGCTGTGGTGGAGAAAGTTACTGTGACCAGAGCTGAAGATGGTCGTCAAAAATGACAAGACTTGACTTTAGTTTTGACGAGCCGTCACTCAATAACAACATGGCCAAATGAACACTCCAGACAATTAGTCCACTTGACAGCGTGTATAATACACTCTGACTTATGACTCTCTTGGAGGAACACCATGGCGGATGTTTTTGAGAAAGTTGAGTTCAGTGACTGTGGCTTTTGCCATCATTTTTCACCATGTTTGCGCTCGCAGCCCTTGTCTAAGCCTGAGCTCACGGTGCGATTGGCTGCAGATGTGAAGAAATGGGAGATTGTGCACAAATATGAATTGCATACTGAGAAAGAACTAGACACTACCGATATGACCAGGACTAAAGTCAGGAAAAGCCTAAATGGAGTTGAGAGAGATTCCTGGGAGATACAAATGCTATCGTCACACAGCTGCAGACTCCCCACGCTGGATTCTGTACAAAAAGAGAAAATTGTGGGGTGATGGAGGGAGGCTATACCTGACAGAAAGAAAACATCTCCTATCTCTTGAACATGGGCAGAGGTTAAAGAACACAAAAGCACCAAGCCGGGCTACATACGGTCACAAAAAAACACACCGAAGTACTAAAAGAACCTGCAAGATCTACAAAATCAAATATGTGCTGTTCAAATTACTGATATATACAGCCATCAAATAAGAATAACCGGTCACACACAATATAAGTGAACAAAACATAATGGGGAAAAAAAGGTCAGTCCAAAAAGAGCATAAGTTTCCCAGCTATTTACAAATACATCTGGCCAATTCAACTGTTTATAAAAATACTATTCACATTTTCGCATTGACGTACAGTAGTAAAATCATGAGGAACAACCATTCCAAATGTCAGTGTTGCAGAAAGATGTTTTTCTTCCCTTTATTTGTCCTTTCTAATATAAAATGATTTTTTAACTGTGCTTAGTCTACCGATACTTTCTGACTACCTTGCCACATGCAAAAGTTCCAGTGAGCATTTCAAAAGAAATGACAAAAGAAAACACAAAAAAGACCAGAAAAGGGGGCACAACTAATAAGAAGGACCGAAAAAATAACCTTGTTTGCATCTTTGATGCTGCAGAATTTATATGCAAATACACATTATCAGATCAGCAAGGGCAGACTCAATAACACTGCAAATGAATTTAATTGTCTGTGTTAAACATTAAGAACCCTAACATACTGTAAGTACCTTAACAGTAATGTGATAACAGAAGCTGAAACACGTATTTTGTAAAGCTTATTGCCTCTCTATACTGTAAAATATATGATGACAGGATCATTATAAAAGAGCCTTAGGGCCCATTTAAACATACTAAGGGAATTTTATGTGCCTAAATCATGTATATTAAAGCTAGCTGATAAATACGTTAAAAATGAGGAAGAAAAACATACGAAAAACATATGATTTTTGAACTCAAAATGCCACACTTTCCAACAAACCACTCACAATCCAGTTTAACCAGACACTAAATGTGGTAAAATAGTTCTGCACTGTATTTAAATTAGGTCTTTATTATTTTTATTGCCTTATGTAATTTGGGTTCATTAACTCATTGCTATTGGCCTATTACTCATAACATCAGGCGGTAAACCTAAGTACATTAAAAAGTTGTGCACATTTTCTGTTGATCGTGGCAGCAGTAATTCATCAAATGTTTATTGAATGGAGAACAGCATGCTAACCAGGCATTACATCTAGATGTGCAGTGTAATAAAGCACACTTTAAGCATTTTGAAGAGTTGATTCAAGGGTCTGGAACTGGAACTTAGTGAACTCACTTAGTGAACTCAAGAAAAAAAAAAAAAAACAACCCCAGAAAATAAGCCTTCACTGATATATTCACCTCTTCACATAATTATCTTCAAGCCCCTTTAGGTATATATACACAAGTTCATGTCAAGATGTCTTTGTGTTCTTCTAGATTCTGCTAAAAGTGAGTCAAATGTTTGTGCTCCATCCAAACCTCATATCCTAGAGTTCCTAGAAAGTGAAAATGTTTCCAAAGAGAACGAGTTCCATCCTCTAACAGTCTCTAATAGTGAAAGTCTTTGCAAAGAGTCACCCTCAAATTTCAGGCATTCCTCTCCCTCCATTTTGGTCTAGTTGTTCCTCACATGATGGATTTAATAGATATTTACCCACTCTGTATTCACAGCAGTTGCTACATATATAGACTTAGACACCCTGATCTGCGGTGACGTTATCAGTAGCATATGCACAAGGTCCTTGCCTTTAATTGGGTTAAGAGAAGATAACTGAAAGCTTCAACCCTTTTGGAAACTGTACATAAGGTGGTTTTGATGGAGGTTGTACTTCTTTGGGCTTTTCATAATCTCAACCAGAATCATTTAGATAACTATGCATTGGTTTCACTCATAAATACAAGAAAGATGAATAAAATATCATTTGGCCTTAGTTCTTAATCTACATATTGTACTTCATAACTATTAAACTAGTTTCCAAACTCTATAGGAGCTTAAATGAAGCAATTTCAAGTATCAGTTTTGTCCTGTTACAGGCATCTTATATTATTGTTATAGGTATTCTTAGCATTCCTTTACTGTGACCCACCTTAAATTCTGCCCCAATTGCATTATTTTGAAGGTTAAAAGCTTGAGATAAATACCTTAATTAGTAAACATCTGTGTTTGGCAAAATTACGGCGCGTCACTAACATTCCCTGATTTTGTTTCCTGTAGAGAGCCAAAAATTTCATTTGTCTAATCTGTTATCACATGGGAACAGCAATCCCAAAGAACTCTGCTCTATCTTTGTTATGTTCATTAATTAAAGTGCTCCATGTAACTGTAAACCTTCATATTCAAAAGCACAAAAAAAATAAAAATAAAATGATAGAGCAAAACAAATGTATGTGGGCGAGTGGTGTTTGCTATCATCATGAAACTATGATTATTATAAATGAGTATTCAATCAGTGCCATTTGTGTTTAAAACAAACTCATGTGGCTGTGCCAGGCTGTTAAGTGCTATAAAACCATTTCACATCTCCAAACCAGCAACACAACATCATTATTATTCCCCTTAGCAGAAAAGCATTGTGACTGGCAGTGTTGAAAACTATACACAAATCTGGCCATAGAAACCTGGGTGGTGTGGTATGTACCGAAGATGTAGCAAAGTTGTTTTCCACCATTTGAGGAGAACAACATGCCCTAATAAGCTGCGTTATCTTCCTAGATTCATATCCGTATAGCTCCATGAGATGCTTCTTATAGAAAAGTCATTATGGGAGACAGTTCAAATGGAGTTGACATATTTGAGGCAGTCTCATCTCTGACCTTGGGGAAAATATTCCATTCGCACGTTCTCATTTGTTCCTCATGGTACTGTATGATGGTACTCCTGTCTTCTCAATTTCAAAATGTCCCCTACTGTTGCAGTTTTAATGAACCCAGCTAGAAAAAGCTGCCATCTTGATCGCAAGTCTTGTGCATCTCATTGACTCGTATGTGGGTAAAGTTTATACAGTTATAACAGTTTTCCGGCCATATTTCAGAAGAGGAGCCAGGTATTGTGTGCTGTCGAGTCTTCTGTGCAAACCTTGACCTCTGTAGCTGTGTAAATCTCCATTTGCCGCCGTACGTCCATCTACATGGATGCTCTTGGTCGCTAGTATTGATTTTAGCTTCTTAAGTTCATGGTATCCCCAATCTGGGTTTTCGTTCCACACATGAAATGACAAAATAAGAAAGGCTACCTTAAGGTGACAACTCTGTGAGCATACAGATCAATGCTGGCTAGATCAACAATAAAAACATTATTACAGTAGACTGTTGTAGATCTGCTTTTATGAAGTTATTGATTTTGTGGCAGGCTGCAGTACGGTCTCGATCATATGCAGGCTGATACTGTTCTCAGCATGAGATGCTTGTTTTCATCAGGTTGCCTTTACGCATAATGCGGACCGCAGGACTGTGTCCAGTTGGGAATGATTCCAGTCTTACTTACGAATCAAAAATGATGAGAGAACGGCTCAATAGAAGTAATAAAATGTAGCTTGTTTGAGCAATATAATACATGTGCAGATGAATCAAGGAGATATTTTTTGAACAGAACATTGCACAATGTGTCTTTTGAAGATATGCCATTCGAGAAGGTGGTGATCAAAGGTCCCAGTTGACACCATGCTGTAATAAACATATGTTTTGTTGTATATAACAGTATGTAGCGTACAGCCAGGCCTGTCGCTTACATTTTTTTGAGTCTCAGTTTGTTGGCGACATTGAGGACCTTTTTGGGCCCTTTTGTCCCAGGGCCCACAAAGATATTCCCAATACGACGGATTTGCATACAACACATCTGCCTCATAAAATCATGTATGGTGTGCTAAAATAAACTATGCTAACCGAAGTCATAAATTACAACAGATCATATCGTAGCTTCAAATTAAATTCCCAAAACAAGATAAATGAAAAACATTTCTGTAATTGCACAAAAGAATGACTCCTCTCTTCTATTGGATCAACACATGTTGCACATCAACGTCAGTACTTGCTTTCAATGAGATGAGTGTAACATCTACCAAATGCTTGGAAGAGTATCGCTTTCCGAAAGCTGGGCTCAGGTAGGGGAAACAGATCTTAATGGTGATTGAAGTGAGGAGAGACAAGCAGGAAGGAGCTTTGATTGATGTGGCCATCTGTGACCAATGCCTCTGGAGGAGAAGCTCACTCAAGTGGATCAGTTCTAGGTCATTGGAGGTTGGGTGTTAAATCCAGTTCAGAGAAGAGCATAGAGATTGCAATGCTGGTGTGAGAGCCAGGGTGAGAACACACTGTGACTCTCTCTTTACCTCCATCTTTCCTTCGTTGTCTTGGCTGTTGTTGCTACACAACAGTGTTCCTCTGACGGTAGGGAGGCGGTGGCAACACGGTGCCCGGTTTTAGTGCATACTCGGACAGGTACTCCTGGTTCTCAGCCACGGCGGGTCGGATCCGACCATTTTGCCGGTAGAAGAAGCGTGTGCTGCAGTCCTGCAGATACTCAGGGTTGTGGAGAGTGGCCTTGGGGGGAAGACTGTGCTGCCAGTACTCAGGATTGTCAAATGTCTTTTTGGGCTTTATGTCGGCCTTGATGGTCCCGGAGTGAGCGGGATGGAGGGTGTGTCCGGGATGGGCGGAGTGGAGGGTGTGGCCTGAGAGGGTGGAGATGCTTTGTTTGCCTTGGTACAGTGGCTGTGTTGAGACATGGGCACTAGGTGCTGCTGGTTGCATGGTTTGGGAAAGGTTCTGGCTGTTGGAATTTCCATTATTTGCTGCTGCTGCTACTGCTGCTGCTGCCGTGTGTGCCATTGGGACTCCGTTCTTCCGCAATACATCATGACTCTTTTCCCCAGAGTTATGGAAGGTGTTGAGGTACAACGGGTCATTGACATACTCATCCTCCACTTTGGGCTGCCCGTTGGAGGTACTGTGGTAACCTCGCTCAAGAGTGTGGACTTCTCCATTTCTGCGATGGGTGACAAAGGGGTTCTCTTCCACAGGATTGAGATAATCTACATGGGAAAATAAAAGAGCTGTCAGAAGAGAGGAGGTAAGCAGACTGAGTACATTGTGGCAGCTAGCGTTCTAAGGTAAAGCCGACTACCATTGATCTCAGCAGGCTTTCTATACAGACTCAACAGAATATTCTCTGAAGTCCTAGAGTTATAGTAAATCCAAGTTCTGTCCATGAAAATTTTTGCTAGAGTATACTTCAGCATACTTTACAAAAGAATGCAAATTATTATTGAGGTTATAAAGTGTGCTAGTGTGCCCATGCAAGAATGAACACAAATTAGCCCAAGATTCAGTAGTTTCTTTTCAAACTATCCTAAACTCTTAATGTCTTAGCAACTTTTAACACCTTTTGGAAATTTCAAAGGGATTAATCACTGCTTTGAACCCTGAGTTATGAAGAACTGCTTGATAGTATGTTTAACAAAACTTTAGTGGGTACTAAGTACAATTTGTGGTGCTATAGATAAGAAATGTGAAACAATAGTGGCTAGGTGTTTAGCAGGGTTCCTGTAGGTAAATTAACTGGATCATTTCTTAGGTTATACAACCGATAAAATTTGTGTCTTGATGCAATGTCAATCACTTTGGATAAAAGAGTGTTTTAAATAATCACAAACTGCCTCAAAGCTTTTCTCATTAAATATTTATAAGCTTTGTAGTCAGAAACTTTTACAGGTTCTATTTAGTTTCAACACTTAAGGGAAAGTCAAAAAGGTCACAGTGATGGCAAACTCTGTCATTCTGTCATCATTCACTGTATGACTGACTTTCTTCTGTGGAAGATAAAAGATTATATTTTGAAATGTCTCAGTATTTTTGTGTCCATACAGTGAAAGTCAGTGGTCTCCACAACTGTCTGGTTTCCAACATTCTTCAAAACATATTTTGTGTTCCACAGAAGAAAGTCAGTCATACAGTTATGCAATCACATGAGGGTGAGTAAATGACAGAATTTTTATTTTTAGGTGAACTATCTCTTTAAAACGACCAGAGTAGATATGGTGAAATTTACACAGATGGACAAGCAGTTATTAAAAAAGGTTTTGTGCTGTATTCGTTGAGGCAATTTTATTAACCTTGTCAATATGCAAGAACACTAACCCAGGGTTTTCAAATTTACAAAGTGAAATCTCAAAACCTGACTACACGGGATTAATTACTAACCACTGGGTAAAAACGTGAACAGTGTGAATCATTGAACAAAGACAACCAAGGGTCCCAAATGACACTGGATAAATAATTTCAAGTGTAAAATGCGTATCAGATCTCTGTGTGAGCTCTGTTAGATCAGTTTCCGCTATCACTCCTGATCGCTCCAGTTTATCCTTCCATTACCTGAGGGCTTTTTGTCCTGCATGGCGCTCATGTATGAATCTTGGTCAGTCTCAGCTCTCGCTCCACGCTCACATAGTATCACAGTTGGATCTGAACTGTAGCGCTGGCCACTGCTGTCCTCCCCGGTGCTTGCCCTGGGTGAAACCTTCTTCCTGAGAGTGCCATTACAGCGGCTTTCTTCAAATGCCTCCGAGGACCCCGAGGCCCCCTGCTGGGCCATAGATTGCTTCTGAGCAGAACACCCAGGGCTGACCGCAGACATAGCCACAACCCGCGGGATAGTGGCCATCATCTCCTCCATTCCGAAGCTGCCGTCCTGATATGCGAACTGGTTCTGCAAAAACACAAACAAGCCTTTTAGTATCTTCGGCATGATCTATTTCTGTTTGCTTTACAATTAAACACTTCAAGAGAGGCAAATATTTTATGCTAGCGAGGCTCCAAATATTAATACAGTTTAGGAGATTTAATGAAAACTTGGCAACAGTGGATGAACAGACGAGAGTGTAGGAACACAGCTCTCCTGATGCAATTAGAAATCTCATCACAATTAAATTATTTGTTTTTTACTTATCCCTAATCCTCAGACACTCTCCATCTGCCTGTCTTTGTTTCTCATTCTTGCTGTGTTCTTCCTTTTCGTTAAGTGCTGTGGTGGCAAGACTGTAGCAAAAAGGCCAATGACATTTTATAAGGTATAAGATGGTAAAACCATGTTTCTTTAATGCCATGGTACTGACTTATCACCATATTCATGCATTATGGTATTTTAAATGGTTCTTTAAAGTACTTCAGAGAATACCATGGTATTACCAAACAACCAGTCAGAAGAATTTTTATCCCAAGTGTTATATAATGTGAAGAAGACATTTATTTACTATGAACAATCTTGTTTGGTTTGTTATTAACTATAGTTGTGATATACCCCATTATAAAACCATGGGAATACCTGGTTTCAGTGGGTATAGAAAAGAATCACCCCATTTAAAGAGGGGTGATTCTTTTCTATACCAACTGTATGCAGTGGTGGAAAGAGCACTGAAAAAATATACTCAAGTAAAAGTACCATTACCTTCCAAAAAATGTAGTGCGAATAGAGTAAAAGTACTTGTCCAAAAAACTACTTGAGTAAGAGTAAAAGAGTAGCCTATTTAAAAGTACTCATGAGTATTGAGTAGTGAGTACTATGCAATTTGTAAGGAAAAATTTATTAAATAGCGAGGTATTTCTGGGGAAACTTTTTCAAAGGAGAACACACACACACACACACACACACGCATGTCTCTTTGCTGAGCCGCGGTGGTC